AACAGGAAGGGAAAAGTACACATTCACCAGTAGCCCTTCCAACCACAGTGTGAACTCTGAAGCACTCAAGTTCACTTGGGCACTTCTATAAATTCTGAGAAAAATGCACTTTCTAGTTACCCTGACCCAAAGAAAGCACACAGAAGAGTAGTGGTAAGTTAATTGTCCTTGTATGTATGCCAACGTGTGTGACTACTCCAGTTCTTATGCACTCCCAATGTAAAGAAAGCAAAGACCTTTCCTAACAAAGGTCTTTAAATTTGTCTTTTTAGAGGACATGGATAGGATGAATTATAGTGTCATATGCAAGGCGCAAGAGTTAAAAACAAAAAAAAGAAAGACATAAGCTGACTATTTCATGGTATCTTCCTATTAACAGTATAAAAGGGCTAAACAGCTTTGCAGGTTGATTCAATGTGCCAAAGCAATGTCTGAGGAACTAATACAATCAAAGATCGCAATAAAAGAGAAAAACAGGCAGGAAATCAACTGATTTCAGAAAGTCAAATCACCTGATCTCAAATCCCAGATCCAAGCAGTGTCAGATCTGACACTTATTGATAAGATCAGTCACCCAATTTCTCTGACTGTTCTGCACTGCTGTCTATAAAAGGGGCATGACAATAGTGCCTGAGGACTGTGAAGGAAGATTAATAAATGGACAGAGGTAAAGCATCTAAATAGTGTCTATCACCCAGAAACCAGTCTCAGCATTGGTTAACAGTTATAACCCTGACCACGGTCACTGTAATTCCCAGAACAGGCAGGAATCAGAAATGCAATTATTATTCCAGTGATTTTTGCAAGTAATTATTTGGTGGTTTTCAGAATGTGAGAGCACAGATTTGGAAAATGGCAGTTTCAAAAGGAGAAAAATCCTGTTTCCAGACATACTACACACTAAAAAGTTAAGACCGCAGAAAGAACTGTGGTTGACCCAAATAATTCACTTCCTCGATCTACAGAACACCTGTATGCAAAGTTAGAGACCTCACAGAAAACACGAACAGTGCTTTAAGCAAGTGTTTTTGTGGCAAAACAGTGATTTCTAGCAGGCTATGTAGCTGGTCATTTAAAAATTTCCTTGAATGTACATTTTGTCGTATTTAGCTGCTAGCTCCATATTACAACTCATTAAATGATGTCTGTAGATAGGAAACTTAAAAGCCAAAGAAATATCGGGCCCTCCTTGGTGGTGCAACGGGTTAAAGTGCAGCACTACGAAGCTATCGCAGTTACCGCAGCACAAGTTCAATCCCTGGCAGGGAGCTGACCCACATAGTGCGGCAGACCTCTCCTGACCTGCCCACTGCTCCCCTCAGCAGTGTATTTCAGTAGATCTGCCTGTTCTGTTTCCCACTGTCTCCCACTGAATCCTCTCACACCCCACACCTCTGGCCTGTACCCAGTTCAGTATGCATAAATAAATCTTAAAAAGCCAAAGAAATAGTAAAGTATAACATATCATTTTTACCCCATATTACAGTAATGAAATATCAGTAAAAACTTCACAAACTGAGAAGTTTTTATGTCTTATATTTCCAATATATGATTTATTCATCTTTAAATAAAGATGAATAAAGGTCTTTAAATTTGCTTAAAAGACACTGCTTTGGCAAGTTGAATCAACCTGCAAAGCTGTTTAGCCCTTTTATACTGTTAATAGGAAGATATCATGAAATATTCAGCTTATGGCTCAGTTTCTTTTTTTTTAACTTTTAACCTTGCATATTGCATTATAATTCATCCTGTCCATGTCCTCTAAGAAAGACAAATTTAAAGACCTTTATTCATCTTTGGAAAAGATGATTTATTCATCTTTGGTACTAGTTTATTCTCATACTAGTACCAAAAACCTAGGAATCTTTGGATATATTACGTTAATGCTGCAGTAACATGAGGTGTATATCTAAAGTGGGAGTTAATTCATTACCTTTCTTAATACATCAGAGCAGTCCGAAAACAAACAAAAAAATGCTGCATTATTTTAGACAAATGACACCTAGAATAAAAATATTTCAACTTTATTCCTTTAGAAGATGCTTTGTAAATATTTCATGAGACATAATTCAAGTGTCTTTATGTCTTAAATAAACTCTGTAAATTATACAGGCAATAACTTTTTCTAAGTAAAAGAAATACCTAAACATGAAAGTAGAGACTAGCAATTATTAAAAGAAACTTCAGTTTTTAAGAACAAACAACGGGGGGGGGGGGAATGAGTTGTTACAACCTTAGGGTTTAGGTTTCAGAGTTCTGTTGATTTTGAATCCTGAGTATGAGTTATTTTTGAGGGAAAGAATTCAACTATTCCCAGCATATATTCTATCCAGTTTAGGATACAGCTTGGACCAGGTGCTCAGAAGATGGAGAACTGCCCTTTGCAATATGGTGCTTCATTAGGCAAATCAAAATCTGAATTCAATTACATTAAAAAACTGAGTTGTTTAATTTTTAAAGGGTCTTCATCAATTTGATGAACAAAGTTCCTATTCTTCTCATAAGTGTAAAGTATCTCCATAGTAGTTCATTTTTTTTTAAAGATTTATTTATTTATTCATACAGAACTGGGGTACAGGCCAGAGATGTGGAGGGTGAGAGGATTCACCAGAGACAGAGTGGGGAGCAGAACAGGCTGACTGACGAAGAACACTGCTGAGGGGACAGCGGGCGGGTCAGGAGAGGTCTGCCACACCATGTGGTCACCTCCGGGGCAGGCGGGGATTGAACTCATGCGGAAGCGGCTTTAACTTCTTAGTGTTGTGCTTTAACCCGCTGAGCCACCAGGGAGGGCCATAGTAGTTCATTTTTACTGGTCTTTATTTCTATCTTTCCCTGCCCATTCCACTGGACAAGCAACTTTGTTTTAATACTAGAGTCTATGAAAACTTAAAATTGTTTTCATCATAGAAACTATTTTTTCTACCAACAGACTATGAAGTTTTCCTAAAAATAAACCCTAATGAAATAAACAGAACAGCAATTTATCAACATATATTTGTTCAGGTTTCACATTTCCTCTCAAGAAACCAGGTGACCCATTCCTTTTATTCACCTTCAACTTTATTTTTAAAAAAATCAAGGAGAAAAACTGGGGATTAACAGTAAAGATAAAGGTCATTTCTTATATTCCATCAGTTTGCAAGCAAAATCACTGGACCAAATATAGGCTGCTGGAAGAGAACAATAAATCCTTAAAAAACAAACAAACAAACAAACAAAAAAAACCAGGAATGTGCAACTTGCCCCCTAGAGCAAGAAAACTCACTCAAAGACAGTGAGAGTGAAGTCCAAGCTAAGCCATCACAGCTCTGTGAGAATACTGCTCGGCCACCAGGCCCTGTTCACATGCATTATAGTCAGTGGCACGAATCTAGTGACCAAAACTACCAATGAAAGAATGCTTCCACACAAACTAGCAGACATTATAGAGCACTGAAATAAATGCAAACAAAATTTTGACTGCAGTCAACTGAAAGAATTTTATATTGGTGAGACAAGAAAGACCATTAGGAGTTGGTTTTTTTCCCTCCCCTTTTACAGTTAAGGGTTTAATCTTTTCACTAGAAATATGGAAGTCACATCATTTCTCACTTATGGATTGATCTCCAAATATCTCCATAAAGTCGGTGAACATATTATGTAGTTAAGCGAATTGTAGATTTTCTTAAGAGTCAAACGAGTCTCATTTGAACGTTAAATGTACTAAAGTGAAATTTACTAAAGACATAAAATTTACTCAAGTTATGCTGGACAATGGCAATAGCTAACTTCCGGGCTTTCTTCCATGTGGACCTTCTACTGCCAACATACTGTAGTTAGGTGGGTGATACTTATCGAAGTTAGAGGGACATTGACTAGACCTACAGGAAGTGCATAGAAACAGATGCACTACTGACAACATGCACATATTTTTGTATTCTCCTTTTCAACATTACAAGGTACTAGCTGACCTGCAAAGATGTGAGTTAAGAGAAACCCACAGTAAAAGCATGCATGCCTCTGTAAAACCTCAACAATCCAGTCCACTACAATATTACCCATTCAGAAGACAGTCGAGTAGATGAACACAAAACAAGTATTTGCACTCATTTTAAAACATTCCTTCGTAATAATGTACTCTCAGTTAATTTCCTGAAGTTGCATGCAATATATTCAGGCCTTTGGAGAGTGAAAATAATTTCCTTCCCCGTAGCAGAGTTGGTAATGTGTTTAGAAGCTCTAGTATCTGGATTCCCAAATTTGCCCCCATTTCTAAACAGGGAGAGGGGCCGCTAATATCTAAGATTACCAACTTCTTTAATTCACCGCTGGGATAGGTCAGGGTCTGCCTGAAACTTTTGGATCTAAAAGCTCTGCCGAAATCCACAAAGGGAGGCCACCAGGCATGGGTTGCCATTGTGATTTGGTACCGACTATAGCTTCTCGCTACTCTTGCTTCATACCCTTTGCCCTGAACCGCGGAGCTCTCCGAAGTCCCTAGTCTGGACCGGAAAAGAGAAGCCCAGCGGAGATCGCCCACCCTCTGGGCCCCGCAGGCGGCGGCTCCACGGAAGCGCCCCTCCTCCCCCCCCCCACCGCTGCGCTCCTCGGCCACAACCCACACGTCAGGCCCGGATCCCTCCGGGGAAAGGCTCCGGAGGCAAAGATATAGAAGCCCTCGCCGCCCCAGGGCTCGCAGACCGGCCCTGTCGGCCGGGATCGCCCACCTGCCGCCGGCCATCGCCCAGCCCCAGCTCGCCCGGCTGGGCTTGGTCCCCGCAAGGGCACCCACCGCTCCTTCCCACGGCGCCTGGCCCTGGGCGAGGCGAGGCGGCGGGGCCCGGGGGTGCTGCCTACAGGCCTGGAGTCCGGCCCGGCCCGCCCCGCCACCTCCCGCCGAGCGCCTGGGCCCCAGGCTGGGCGCCGGGCAGAGGGCGCTGGGCCTGCCGCCCGCGGAGGTCGATATGAAAAGGGAGGGAAAGCCGGGTGCCGCCGTGGTGGGCCCCGGAGCCCCGTACCTTGTAGAAAGCGCCATTGGAGCCCCGCACTTCCACCACCAGCTCCTCCATCTTCCCGTCAAGCCCGCTGGCGCCGGGAGCCCGCCCCCGAGAGCTGGGCTGCGGGCACTCGAGGCCCAGCCGC